GGGGGGGGGGTACTCGGTGAAAGGGGGGGCGGCGGCGGCGGCGGCAGCGGCCACGGTGGTGGTGACGACGACGTTGGGAACACAATACGTAGTGTCAATTTGCTGATGTCAAGTTTTGGGCTATAAATAATTTTCATCAGACATGTATCGATGGAGCAAAGGAAATGAAGAAGCACTGAATCAAAATTCAAAGGTATACTCAGGGTTGCCCCGTTGTCAAGCGGTACCGGACAGAAAGGTTGATGAAAAAACCGAACAACTCCTAACATCTGGCCTACGTACTCCACAGCAGCACCTATTGGCCCGGAACTTCCACGGGGTAACGGGGTCCTTCTTCTGACGTAGTACGCCCCGGAGGTCTCCTAATGGAGACCACAACTGTCAAAGACAGATACCGGTAACACGAACAAGAGGCCGGAGTAATCAGCGCGACTTATATAAGGGCAAAAGCAAAGTAGTGCCATGGACGCGATGGTCAGCTTTTGGATATTGGCATCTAAGAACCGTGTTTAAGAGGCGGTGATGTTGAGATGTATGTTGAGATGTACAGCAGAAGGGAAAGACGACACAACAATCGATGTTGCCGCAGCATTGGAGAGCCGCAGAACAATGGATGGAACGAGCTGCACCACTAACACTGTGATGTTCAGTAACGTGGATAGAACAAACAGTTCTTTCGGGCGAAAAACGGGGATTTGATGTGTGTGCATTGTCGATTCGTTCATTTTTTCAATAACCATTCTGCACGTCATGTTCTGTGACTGATCATAGAAACAAGGAATGCGTCTCCCGTGGGTGGGAAGAGTGGGATGCGTTCGGGGAGCATCGAATCCAGACAAAAACGTCGTTTCTATGAGATACCTTGACAAGACGATCCATTGAGGATGTGAGCACCGTCGGGGGGTCGTTCACCATGCTCATGGAAATTATTGGTTCAGTGTGAGCTTCCCAAGATCCAATTCTGTCAAGGGATACAACACGTAATATTGGTGTCGTTGGCGGGACGTAAGTGGGCGGTGGGGAGGACGGCGGGCGAATGGTCTCTAGGTGGACGACGGAAATCGGAGGGCAACAGCAACGCACTGCTCATAGTGCAATCTGTTGGCCGCCCTTCAACGACTCTAGCAACCATGGAAGGTTCTCGGATTTCAAATAGCTTAACACGGTAGTCTCAAACACTCATCACCCTTACTTGGTCCAAGCTTTTTCGTCTTCATCCATACCGATTGCAAGCATCGAACATCCCTGTGCGACCTATGTAATAGGTAAGTACCCCAGGTTATTTCAGCCGACCCAGCTTCCCAATTGATATGGACTATCCCGGTAAGGCGCATCCAATTCTAGAAAGAGGTTAGCCTTATTGCCAGCCTCCGAACGTTTAGCAACCATGTCAGTGTTTCACCTGTGAAGACCGAGGATGTCCGTGTCGGCAATCCAATCCATCGACCCTTTTGCATCCAGGCGATACCGTGCTTCGCGGAGAGCGCTTTCGGCATCTAGCCGGGCAATGAGAAACGCGTTCGAGCAGACCGCGGGTGACTGCACCACACCCACCCCGTGCCCGGCCCACTCATGCCCCCCGTACCTGCAGCACGCACGTTCGCGGGAATGGCAACCAAGAGGCGCCAGCACAGACCCAGCTGTTGTATATTTTCTGTCTTTTTCGGTGGGCGTTTCGCTGACGGTTTTGCTAGTTGACGCCTCCTACTGTTTGGGGACGTGAACATGACACTCACATGCTTATGAGGCCGATAATGACTTCCTTGAGGTCCCATGTGGTGACTGTGCCGATCTCGTCCGCGGTGTAGACAGTGTAGGACAGCATCTCCGTATTCCAAAACACCCGCCGTTGCCGCTGCTCCTGGCTATCCCCACCGCTCCACGCGGTCGACGCCGGATGCCTTGTTAACACGAACGCACACGAAGCATGGAACATGTAGTAAGAGCGAAAGGGGGGGGAGGGTCAACACTTGACTACGAGGTGATCTAACATAGCAAGCAAAAAGTTGGTACGTGATTCGTCACGATGAGTGATGGCAACTGTGTTAGCCGTCAAGATGAACACTATCAAGCCGTACACCAGAGAGAAGGAGCAAACCCACGAACACAAAAATAACAAGGATAACAGACCAACCATTTTCGAGCACCACGAGTTCCAAGCATGTTAAGCACAACATGCCTGGCGCTCTCTCGAAGGAGGTTCGCGGTGCCAATCTCCGTCATCACCTCACCTAGGGCGTAACTGCTTCTAGAGAGTCCTGAACGCAAAGGTGGAGTATTACATGGTGTATTATACCAACTACAGTAGTTTGCACTTCTCTCGAGAAATAATACGTGCACCAGATCAATCAAGCGTCTCGCGAAGGTACGGCTATCGTCAACGTTGACTCTGTTTGAGCTCCGAAACTGCGCGACATCTCCTCGCGACCACACGTACCGCGACGATTCGCTTCAGGTCGAAGGGAGGACAGTTTTGGGTCGTACCCGTTCTACTCTGAGCCGTACCATCAGAGACGTAGGTAAACTAACGGTGTCAGCATTTTCTGTGCCGTCCTGCCCAGCATGTGAAACGTCTGACCTTCGCCGCACCCCCTGGTATTTGCGGAACGTTGCGGCGAGGCGTTCTTGAAATGAGCGATCGCGGGAGCCGCTTCCGGAGATGTCTGGGCTCGCTTCTGAAGCATCCCACCTGTTGTCGTTGTTGCTGCTATCGTTACCTTTGGCACAAAAGCGTTGAGATCTTTCTACGTAGTACTTCCATGTCCGAGGCTACCCAAGAACAAACTACGCATAATACAGGCACAGAAAGAGTCAGAAAGAGTCTTGCCATTCGTTACAAGATCAAAGTCCTAAACAACAAGCTTAGGAAAGAGCATTGAAGTACACGCAACCCCCCAACGAGTTTGATATTTCTGCGCATTACATATTTTGTTTCACTATCAAGCATATCTTTAGTGGCCACTGCTCTACACATGTACAGCTCGGCCTAAGAGGCGACCGTGATCTCGGCGCCGGACAATGGCCCCTACCGTCGTTCGATGGTTCTTGAGTTTCTTCTCAAAAACATTTGTTGGAGCTTCGTTGTCGATTGCGAGAAACGTTGAAGAATTGATGTCTCCTACGTAGTTCCGTCGAGATATTCATGTGCGCCGCATGCATGCCGCAGCCCGTATGTCGAAGGATACGACATCAACTAACTCCTAACGCAACTAAGGTTGACGGCTGCAACGTTCGCGTGAGCGACGTTTCCTTTGAGACCGTTTCGGTACTTGTTTTGTCAAGGTACGAATGGTCGGACATTCAACAGGGTCTCCCATCCACCGGGTGGAAATGACTCACGTAGGGATTTAGGCAAAAGTGGTGCTCAATAGTACATCTTTGACGCCGTACTTGCGGAGAGAGAAGGGGGAGCTACCACCTCCGCCGACAACTATTCATCCCTACACCCGTATGTGTCAGCAGCTGCCCTAGGCCTGTTGCGTTTTCGATGGTTGCATATATCACCGGGTAACCACACGAACACTCACGATGCATTCCCATCAGCAACGCGAGGGAGAACGTCGGCTCCGTCACCACCACCATCGCCGCCTTGGGCCGCGTCTGGCACCCTCTCCACCTCATCGGTGGTTGCAACCTCGCCACGTTCGGGCGGTG